ACTGGCTCAATGTAACGCTATTTAGAGGCGCACATCAAAACCCGCCGGTCGGCCACTAATGCAGCAGAGCTGCCATAATTAAATGTTTGTTTTTGAAGGAGATGTGATGTGGTTGTTTTCTGACTCGTTTCATCTCTGCGTGTTTTGAGGGGTGTTTTCACCATCTGTGTGTGTGACGGGCCAAAAGTTGTGATGTTTAGTTACCACGAGTAGCTGATGACAATGTGCAATAACTTGGATGCGTCTTAGCATATATAATACCCTACAGACGTATTGTGTTAATGACACATTTCTGAGGAGGAATTTTCTACGATTTGAATAAGAGCGAAATTCTGTTTTGACAAATGGAAAAGTTACGTAACCGTGTGTGTGAACTGGTGAGGATTTAGATGTCACCACACCTGCTTAAAGCTTTGTTTCAAGACTTGGTTTTAAACTTCATCTTAGAACCAGTTTTAGGTTCAGGTAAAGGTTAAATAGTTGTAATCGGTGTGAGCATTAGTGCTATTGAGGAGGTGTTATAGGAGCATGGTAATTACAATTTACACAGTTTCTGTTCAGGTGCTTGTGGGCGCGTAAATTGTATAATTGTCCATAAATGTCACCTAATGAGACAGACAGGATGTACTTCGATCACAAGTAGGATACATTAGTAATATTGTGTTTAAGAAAACTCAATCAATAATTCCTAATCTGACTGAAAGTGCTTATAGTGACATTATTTCAAGTTCTGGTTTTATTCACAGAAAATAAACCAGACATCTGTAATCTGGACGCTTAAGCTGCTCATACTTGTAGTAAAGAGATTTCCTCCTATTGTAGGAGGTAGTAGGATATTAGGATACTTTTAGGTTTTTTTTATTTCAAGTCCTCCAAATGCAGAGACAACTTGTTTGCAATCTCTAACACTTCATATTCAGATGAAGATCACAACACTAGTTGCAATCTATCTGCAGCACTGTGCAAAAGTCTTGAGACACCCTCACGTCTTTAAATTTTGCATACAAGGAGCCAGACTTTGTTGTGCTTTTTAAAGCGGTTCTTTATACGTTCTTTCAAGTTTCTAAAATAATGTTCTTAAGAAAAAGGAAAAGAAAATCCAGAAAAGAACCTTCGGCTGGTCCGTCTACTGTCACTGAAGCCTCATCAGAAATGGTCTCAGTGGAGGGTGGCTGTCAAGAAGCCATCCTTAAGGAAGGGAAACAGGGAGAAGAGTGAAGTATGAACATTAAATAAGAACTAGACTGAAAGTCAGTGGAAAAAGTTTACATTTTTGGTTCAAGTTGGGATCAGTATGTGCAGAAAAGGTCAGGCGAGAGTACAATAATGAGTGAATACACCCATCTGTAAAACAGGGTGGAGGCTCTGTCATGGTTTGGGTTTGCATTTCAGCCAGTGGTGGAGATCTCGTCAAAAGTGATAAAATTATGATTGTACTGTTAGATTGGCAACAGCTTCAATTTTTGACTTGACAATGATCCTGAACACACTGGCAATGCAGTAAAAGCATAACTGGAACACTGTCAGTCACGGATCTCAGCGTTAGTGAAGCATAGTGGGATCATGTTGACAGACAACAGAACAAAAGGCAGAAACATCCACAGAAGAGCTTTGAATGTCCTTCAAGAAACCTGGAGAACTATTCCTGAAGGCTGCTTAGCAAGCACATGAAGAAATGAGGGCTGGCTCAAGACTAACGTATCGTACTTTTTCATGGGTTCTGTGCAAATTAGTGCTACCCATACTTATTGCATGCTACAAATCCCATGAGCGTTTTAGTTGACTAAATGTGTCATGGTTCTCAAGATCTGGAGAGGTCGTGGTGTGTGTGTTTTTTGTCTTCGCCTCTCCCACCAGGGCGGAACTGGACCTTGATTCCCCGCCTCTGAACCCGCCCTGAACACACACCTGTGGCTCATTCACACTGATGCTGTGTCCCAATTCAGGGTCTGCACGCTTGAAGTACGCATTTCAAGTGCGATTACGTCACCTCAGATATTCAACTAATCAAAGTGATGTCATGACAAAACATTTTTCTTCTTCATTTCTGTCAAATAAAGCTGTATGTAACGTTTCTCGCGGTTAGTATCATGGTTGCTAGGCAACCTGAACAGCGC